GGGAAGATAATAGGAAAAGAAAGCAAATATCTTTCCCTCCCACAGCTGTAGTTCCAGGTGGGGTGTTAAAAGAAGCAACAAAAAAAAAATAATCTGATTTTTCTTTGTTTCCTTGCTGTATTTGAAGGCAGCCGTTGGGTCTTGAAGCTTCCACCAGTGATTTTTGCAACAAAATGATTTTTTATTTTTTGAAATCGGAGTTAGAAAACAAACTTTAAAAGGGGGGGGAGGGATTAGGAGGGTTTACAGCTGCAACCTTTTATCGCCTCCCAGATGTTTTCCTCCAGCTGTGAAACTTTTAGTCTCTTGCCAAATTGTCTATTAGCTTGCAATTTGCAATTTAATATCACATCTGATGTCTGTGAAGCTGTCTGGCTTTTAGAAGGTTTTTTTTTAATCTATTATTTGAGTTGTGTATAACTTTATTTATGGATTTGTTGAATTTATATAGCCATCCATCTCAATATAGACCTTGGAGAATAGCACAGATCGTCCTCGAATCAATCAATCAGAATAGATCTGGAAGGGACCTTGGACGCCATCTAGTCCAGCCCCTGCTCAAGCAGGAGACCCTATACCATTACAGAGAAATGGTTGTCCAGTCTTTTCTTAAAAACTTCCAATGTTGGGGCATTCACAACTTCTGGAGGCAGGTTATTCCACTGATCAATGGTTCTCACTGTCAGGAAATTTCTCCTTAATTCCAGGTTGCTTCTCTCCTTGATTAGTTTCCATCCATTGTTTCTTGTCCTGCCTTCTGGTGCTTTGGAAAATAGATTCATCAGAAAAGAGCTGGAAGGGACCTTGGAGGTCTTCTAGTCTAACCCCCTGCTCAAACAGGAGACCCTACACCATTTCAGACAAGTGACTGTCTAGTCTCTTCTTAAAAACCTCCCCTGATGGAACACCCACAACTTCTGGAGGGAAACCGTTCCACTGGTTAATTGTCCTCACTGTTAGGAAGTTTCTCCTTAATTCCAGGTTGCTTCTCTCCTGGATTAGTTTCCATCCATTGTTTCTTGTCTTGCCTTCTGGTGCTTTGGAGAATAGGTTGACCCCTCCCCCTCTTCTTTGTGGCAGCCCCTCATTTAGCACCTGCCTCATACAGCGACCGTTTGCACTTAAGACAGTTATGGGGGGGAAAAAAAGTTATGAACTGCGACCAGTTCTCAGCATTATGACCTTCACAGGTCTGCAGAGCAAAGGAAGATTGGAGTAAGACGGGGTTTTCAAACTTGGCCCTTGTATGACTTGTGGACTTCAACTCCCAGAATTCCTCAGCCAGGCACGCTGGCTGAGGAATTCTGGGAGTTGAAGTCCACAAGTCATGAAGGGGCCACAGTTTGAAGACCCCGGGAGTAAGACCATAAAGAAAGTCACTTTACAGCCACTTTCCTTAATGACTGAGTGGCTAGTCCCAATTGTCGTCGCTCAATGAGGACCATCTATATATAGGTGTGAAGATGCTACATCAGGAGTGGGAAGGCTTGAGTTTAGGGGCTCCCTCATCTTGGGGTGATTTTAAATCGGTCGTTATCCCTCAACTCACGCCACTTCACACAGTTAATATTGGCAGGTAGAATTGGTGAAGCGGTGAGATTCAGGTAGTCCTCGACTTAACGGCCACAATTGAGCCCAAAATTTCCATTGCTAAGCAAGACAGTTATTAACTGAGTATTGCCCTGTTTTACGACCTTTCTGGCCACAGTTGTTAAGTGAATCGCCATTGCTGTTAGTCACACGGTTGTTAAGTGAATCTGGCTTCCCCATTGAATTTGCGTGTCAGATGGTCGAAAAAGGGGATCACGTGACCCCAGGACACTGCAACCGTCATAAGTACTTGCCAGTTGCCAAGCCTCCAAATTTTGATCACATGACCATGGGGAGGCTGCAGTGGTCGTAAGTGTGAAAACTGGTCATAGCTCACTTTTTTTCAGTGCCGCTGTAATTTTGAATGGTCACTACATGAATGACTATCTGTATATGCCACCGTGTGCTCCAGGAAGAAAAGCAGGATATAAATCTAACCAAGTTAAATAAGTAAACCTTGTTCTCCTACCTGATCCTCTAAAAAAATGTGTTGGGACTTCAATTTTTAGAAAGTCCCAGCCAATCAGCACCTCCAGAATTCCAGAGGTTTGAACTTTTTAACGTAGAATTAAGATCGATTATATGCTGTCAAGTTATTTGTGACTCTCGCTGAAACCTTTAAATTCAGGATAATATTTGCTTTATCCTAACATGGAAAACCTTTGTCCTTCAGTGGTTGTTGAATTGCATCTTGTGCTATTGGTTGGCTAAGTAACTCTAGGCCAATCACCAGGAGATGGAGAGTTCTAGTCCAGCCTTAGGCATGAAAGGCAGTTGGGTGACTTTGGACCAATCACCAGGAGACTCTGAATTCTAGTCCCGCCTTAGGCATGAAAGCCAGCTGGGTGACTTTGGGCCAATCACCAGGAGATGGTGAGTTCTAGTCCAGCCTTAGGCTTGAAAGGCAGTTGGGTGACTTTGGACCAATCACCAGGAGACTCTGAATTCTAGTCCCGCCTTAGGCATGAAAGCCAGCTGGGTGACTTTGGGCCAATCACCAGGAGATGGTGAGTTCTAGTCCAGCCTTAAGCTTGAAAGGCAGTTGGGTGGACCAATCACCAGGAGACTCTGAATTCTAGTCGCGCCTTAGGCATGAAAACCTGCTGGGTAACTGGGCCAATCACCAGGAGATGGTGAGTTCTAGTCCCACCTTAGGCATGAAAGCCAACTGGGTGACTTTGGGCCAATCACCAGGAGATGGTGAGTTCTAGTCCCACCTTAGGCATGAAAACCTGCTGGGTAACTGGGCCAATCACCAGGAGATGGCGAGTTCTAGTCCAGCCTTAGGCATGAAAGCCAGCTGGGTGACTTTGGGCCAATCACCAGGAGACGGTGAGTTCTAGTCCCGCCTTAGGCATGAAATCCGGCTGGGTGACTTTGGGCCAATCACCAGGAGACTCTGAGTTCTAGTCCCGCCTTAGGCATGAAAGCCAGCTAGGCGACTTTGGGCCAGTCCCTCTCTCTCAGCCCAACCCACCTCACAGGGTTATTGTTTGTGGGGAAAATAAAAGGAGGAAGTTGTGTTGGATATGTTTGCTGAGTTATTTCTCAAAATAACAAAGGCAGGACACAAACAAATGCAACAAATATTTGGAAGACACCCATTCTCAGTCTCAGGGCTACATCCACATGGCGGATCTGGGAAGATCTCCGATTAATCGGTTGACGCCTCGTTCAGGCCCCGTAACCAAATCGAAACTGGTAATTTAGCTGGCTTTACATCTTGCACGCTGCCCGTTTGGTTCTCCTTCATTCGGATGCCAAATTTGGGGATTCTTGTTTACCGTTTCATGTCTCTGCACGTATAGAAGAGTCTTCTTGCTGTTTGTTCGTCTGTTGCGTAGATGATGGCTTGGTTTAAGGGGCAGTAGGAAAAC